ATTGACCATTTGCGTACCTTCTTTGGAGAAATGTCTATTCATATTTTTTGCCTTTTTAAAATTGGGTTTCTTTTTATTACTGACTTATAAGAGTTGTTCATATATCTAGATACAAGTTTCTTATCAGATGTCGCGTGCCCTGTCCTCGCCGGCAAGAACAGCATGCAACAACAGCAGGATTCTTCTGCAGAAAGCTTTATTCTTCAGCTCTTTGTGAAACAAATGAGTTGGGCAGGACCCAGAGGGGAAGGAGAGGCTTGCTTATATAGTTCTCATGCTCTGACCTGGTTGGTGCGGCTCCATATGCCTTATTAGCATAACCATTTGGTGGGTCTCATTGGTCCTTATGCCAAGGCGCAATTAGCATGTAGTTTAGTGGTGTGGGATGATTTGTCATTAGGAAGTTCGGGGCCTTCCGGCTGCCCTGCATTGGGCGCTATTTTCTGAGCGCGGCTGCCAACAATCAGACAAATTATTTGCAAAATTTTTCTCCCATTCTTTGGTTTGTTTTTCACTTTCTCGATGGTGGTACCTTTTTAAGCACAACGCCTCAAAGTTTTGATGATATCCAATTTACCTTTTGTTGCTTGTGCTTTCATTCTATTTTTAATCTTTTGTTAATTCCTGGCCATTTTATTGTTGTTAAAAGAACCAGGTCATTATGTCTTATAAAATTTACTCTATTCTCAATTTTGCTATTTGTAACCCTAGAGTATTGCTTACATGTTCCCCCACCCCCATTTCCTATAAACTCATAATTAGATTAGAGGCTTGATCAGATTTGGGTTCCATTCTGGCAGGAATATCCCATAGGCAGTACCATAAACATCCTAAACATCTCCTCTATGTCACATGAAGAATACAGTGACTGGTTAACTTGTGTGTGTGTGTGTGTGTGTGTGTGTGATGTTAAGATTGATCATTGAGTTTGTTCTTAATGGCTTGACCCATTTAAAATTTAAACCACTTAAACTTTACCATTTAAACCATTTAAAATTTCCCAACAGACTCTTATAATGGTTTATCAGCTATAATCTTGGGTCTGTGCTGTGCAATGGAAGTTTAATCTTAATTCAAATGGCCACATGTGGGAAACGGTTTCTGTAATAGACAGTACAGGTCTAGATGCATTGTTTTGCAGTAGTCTGCATTACTTCTGCATTTTTTAGCTCAAATTCTTCCAAAAGAACTTTCTGTAATTAAATACAACTACTTTGAAATATAGCTCATTCAGGAAAGACATATAATGGGCTTGTTGTTTTTTTAAGTGGGTACCTGAGCCTGTATCACAGACCGTTTTGATTGGGGTTGCCTAACCTCTTGGCCTTTTTTGCAAGACAGCAGGACTACGAAGGACAAATACATTCTACTCTGGTAGGATTGCTACAGTAGTCTCTGCATCATTTTCAGGAGGTCTGTAAGTGACAGTATTGGTGCTTCAGACTTCTTACCTACCGCTCATCTCTGATTTTAGCTGCAGCCACAGAGATGGCTTCCCATCTGAAGAACCTACTCTATCTTTCAGCTTTTGCAGCATAGAATGTGGGGTAGTTAATGTCTCCATGGTCAGCCTTCAGCCAAGGGGTTTAGAAGTTGTTCACTAAATACTCAACCTCAGCAGGACACTTCTGAGGTGCATCCTAAACAGTTATTCAGAGGGCAACAGGCAGGATCAAACCTTGTTGCCCGCAGTGGTAACACTGCAACAATGTACCCTTTACTGGCTCTCTCCTTCTCTGTTCTACACCCTCTGCTCCCTCATGCCAGTTTCTTAAGATCACTTCCCCAATAAACTACCTGCTTCCAAGTCCTTATCTCAAGCTCTGCTTTTGGGGAAATGTAAATTAAGGCATTTATTCACTCACAAACATTTACTGAGAGATTATAATGGATCAAGCAGTGTATTAGATGCTAGAAATACAATGGTGAACAAGAGATCAAGTCTGATGGGGTATACAGAGTAACAAGCAATGATTGAATAATGTAGTATGCATTATACAGGTAAACATGGGTGCTGTAAATTGTGAAGTGTGGCCAGATTTAGGATCCCTGAATTGTCCCTTGCAAAAGCAACATTTGCTAGGTATTAAGAGAGAGTAAGTGACCGAGGACAAGGCAGGCAAAAACACCCTTACTTGGACTTTGTGCCCAACTCTGAGGCTTCAGTTTTGGATTGAGGTAAGCCCAAGGGACATGCTCTACTACTTCCTTCCTCTAGGCCACACTCATTTGACTTTCCAGCTAATGGAGAGAGCCCTATGTCAATCTTACTGCACAAATCCAGTGGTGCTTCATACAAGACCACACCTGAAAAAGGACCCATTCTCTATCACCCGAGAAGTCCCCAAAGAGATCACATTCTGCCTGCAAAGCCAGAGCTTTATCCCTCATGACACAAAAACTCTGCCCCTTTGCCCTATGGCTTTAGAACCCTGACGTTGCCACAACCATAGTTCTCCTTAGTGCTATATTAGAGGGGGAAACTTGAGCTCAATAAAAGCTAGAATATGAAACTAGTACAACTTCCCCCCTTTTTCTTTTTTTCCCTGTAGTATGCCTAAACTTCTGTTTGAAGGACTTTGGAACACATATATACATCTAATGAGAAAACTATCCGGAGGCTAAAACTTGCTGTTCTGAGGCTGCTCTGCCAAGTTGGTCCTGATCTTGGTGAGTATAGTTTCTTTGCAACATCTTCCCATCAGTGAGGAACTTGGGTTCTGAATCCTAGTCAATAGCTGGGCCACTGATGCTCCCAGAATTCCTGCCAGCCTTTCCACAAGTTTTAACAGGGTAATACATGGAGTTAAACTCCATCCAGTTCTCACCACCTTATTTCAAATGGACATCTTGTGATGATCTAGTCTTCATCTGATGTTGAGAACTGATGTTATCTAGAACTTAAATGGCATTTCCTGAATTTCTCCTGTTTTAACATTTATCATTCTGGTTACTTGCTTATCTCTTCACCCAGACCCTAAGCTTTTTGAGGACACAGTGTCTTATTTACCATTGTTATCTCCAAGGCCAAGTGGGATTGGTTAACTACATGAAGGCCTGTATCAAGCAAGAATCTTTCAGTTGCTAATAACAGAAAACCCAACTCAAATTAGTTTAAACAAAAACAAACAAACAAACAAACAAAAACCCCAGGAAATTATTAGTTCATATCACTGCAAAGTCGAAAGCCTAAGTAATATTATAAGGAGCCCACCTTTTAGGAGCCCACCTTTTTCCATTTTTTCTTCTCCTCTCTGCTGTGTTTGCTGCACTCTCAGGCAGGCCTTCCTCACACGGAGGCCCCCAGTACTCCAAATGCAATTTTTAGTTCTGATTGATCCCAGCTGTCTTGACTCATGTGCCTATTCCTAAACCAGTCATGGAAGCCAGGCTGATGTGCTGCTCTGCTTGGCCAGGCCTAGGCCACATGCTCATCCTTGAAAGAGGGCAGCAGGCAGGGGTGGGACTCAGCTCCATAATAGTATGGTTTGTTTGTGTATGTGCATGCACAAACACTGCTGCTGGAGATAGTGTAGGGTGTATGGGAGTATGGATACTGCTTAGCCTACGTAATTCCACTCCTACTTCCTTTGTTAAGCTCCACACATTTCCTAGAGATTGTGCCCCTGTGTCATGGGTATCTGCCCTGCTGTACTTGTCTGTTTCTTCCAGCTCCGCCTCAGAGGTGGGGGCCTCCATTATCGCTTGGAGTATTCCCCATACTGTCTGTTCAGCTTACTGCTTGGTCCTGCTTGTCCTTTTCCTGCCCTAAATGCTCCCAGCAAGCTGCACAGTGCGTGCAGTGTCCTTTCACATATTTTGGCAACTAGTGAGTCATGTACACAAAGAACTCTTAATGCAGAATGTGGTCAGCTCTCCAAGAGAGCAGTGTAAAGATGTTTGGAGAGCAGAGATAAAGGCAAACAACATCTGGCTGGGAGCATAAGAGCAGACAACCCATTCAGGGACTATCAAGTACCCAGGACAAGCTTAACTGAAGGCTGAATAATGAATGATGGTAACAGTGATAACAATAACAGAAGCTAAGACATATAGTACTTGCTGTATGCTAGGCTCTGTTCTAAGAACTTTTATGAAATCAACTCTTTCAAATAGGTATGATAATTTCCCCCATTTTAGATTTGAGGTTAAGTAACTTCCCCAAGGTTCTGCAGCAAGGAACTGGCAAAATATGATTGGCTTCCTATCCTGGAGGGTCTTAAAGGGCAGGATACAGCGTCTAAGCCTTGGCTTATAGCTCTTTGAGTAGCTGTTTCATCTTTCCTAATGGACTTAAACTAACTGAGATCAGGATTGAGTCTAAGTCACCTTTGTATTCTCTAGAACACTTGCATGAGCTCCACAGTTAGGTAGAAGCTACATATATATATATGCCCTTTGAAAAAACTGTTTCTACTGGAATGAGCATTGTTATGTAAAATATACGAAATCTTCCACAGTTAGAGCACGAGACAGGAAGTTGATGGATCTGACTGGGCTTTCACCTCTGACTCAGTGTGTGACTCTGGGCAAATGACTTAATGGCTCCATGCCACAGATTTTTCATCTGTAATAAAAAGGAAAACAAGTATCTAATGTACTTCACAAGGACACTGAGAAAATAATAATAATAAAAAATGGATCTCAGGAAGAGTATTTTTATTGGGGAATCACTTGTTCTCAGAGGAAAGGCCTAGGCTCTGGGTTTGAACCTCAGTTGAAGTGTGACCTGGGGCCAGTCGTTAGCTTCCCTGAACCAATTTTTGACTCTAAAATGGGGCTAATAACAATTATTTCAAAGTGCTTTTGTGAAATTAACATCATGTTTGTACAGCTTTAGTCCAGAACCTGGCTAAGCACCACAAGTTAACTATTATTATTGTTACCTCTATAGGAGCAAGGTCCTTCCTGGCTCTTTTTCTATAAGAAAAAGCATTCCTTCCCCAGTCAGACCCCATTCACAAGGTTGAAGCAGAAGAAAGTGCTTTCAACTCTTCGAGATGGGCGCCGCAGGAACACTAATCCTGTCACCCAGGGCGACAGAGCACAGCCCCCGGAGCAAAGCCCATCTTCCATTTGCTTTCCCTTCCTTTCTGGGAAAGCCGAGCTCCCCTAACGTATACGGTTGCATTATTTTCCTGCCTCGCCGAGTCGCTGGCCCCTCTCTGACTTCTCCCGGGATCCGCTCGGTCGTGCGGGCCCCGCCGCAGACAGGCGGCCAGGACGGGCGTCTCGGTGCCTCCACGCCCCATTCCCCCCCAGCGCTCCCGCCGGCCGCTGCCCGCTCCCAGGCCGGGGCCCCCGCGGGCACTGACGCGCTGGGGGAGGAGCGGTTTCTCGCTGCGTGCCTCTCAGGAGCATTACGGCAGGGCTCGTTCCCGGCTCGGGCCGCCAGCCTCAGCCTCCCGGGTCCGGAGCTGGGACTGGCGGAGGCCGCGAGGGAAGGAGCGCGAGCGAGGAGCCACGCGCCGCCCGTCCGCGCCCAGACCGCCGCTGCCGCCTCCGCAGCCATGGCCGAGCGCCGCGCCTTCGCCCAGAAGATCAGCAGGTAAATCTCGGGCGTGGGGCGCGCCGCTGCAGCTGGGGGCAGAGCCGGGGAGTCCTCCCGGGCCGGGCCTAGGAGGCGGTGGGTGTGGCGGCGCGGGCGCCCGGATCCCGCGGCCTGGTCCGCGGCTGAGCGCCGGGGCGGAGAGGGCTCGCACCGCCCTCCGACCCCTGCTCCAACCGGCACCCGCGGCCAAGCCCTGCTCGTGGGCGCGGAGATCCCCGCACGCAGCGCGCCCGCGCCCGCCCGCTCTTCGGTGGCCCGGGCCTGGAGTTTCGCGGCGGCTTATTGAAGGCGGGGGCGGGGGTTTTGTAGCCTGCCGGTAGGCACTTCCCAGATTCTTTGTGTCCCCAGCCCCGGGCTGACTGGGGGCCGCCGCGGCCTTCCGCCCCCTCCTCCCCACGCCCACCCCGTTTGCTCCCAGAAGAGTGCGGGGCCCGGGCCCGCCCTCCCATCCACCCCAACAAAAGGTTCGGCGTGCGACCGGCTGCCGGCCGTGGGAGGCCGGCCCTTCTCGCCGCACCCTGCCTGAGAAATCTGACAGGAATCCTCTCTGCAACCAGGGGCCCGAGTGACTGGGCTTGGGCACGTAGAGTGTAAAACGTACGGCCAAATGAAAAGTTGAGAGCTCGTGGTCTGCACCTTCGGTGTGCGGCTACCGAGTCTCTCAGGAATTGTAGGTTGAAGATTGGTTTTAATAGCATATGAATTTCAGTGTGCGCCTGTTTCTCTGAGCTCCAGAGGAAGATGGATGATAGGCAGTGTTCTTTATACACTGGCCCTGTGATTCATATTTTAACAGTTTGGAAGTAAGCAAGCGATCAAGGTTGAGGTTTGCAAGGCTTTACCTTCGTGTGGTGGGCAGGTTGCCACCTTTCTGTCCTCTGCAAAACTAAAAATTGAATTACGGCGAGGAGTCTAATATTTGTGATTTCATTGTGGAATATACTGATGTATAAGACATTAGATATTTATAGTTACAGTAATACAATTTATGTTATGATGTCCCAAGAAAAGAAACATTCGAATGCATTGCTTTTTTGACAATTGTGTTACTGTGGGTCTAGATCTTTTTAGTTTTTATCTAAATAAACTTTAAATATTTAAACTTAAATATTTAAAGATACAAAACTTAAGTGTTTAAAGATATTAGAGATTTTTGGACCTACCAAAGAGGTCCTTTCTTAAATGACTGAACATCCATAGTGTTACTCTATTTTGGCATATTTTTATTTCAAACATCATCTCTGATTTAAGCTTTGTGCTTAATTGATTTTCTTTTGAACACTGAACATATTTCATTTTCTCCTTAAGAGGCAAAATAGCAAGTGCTTAAGAGCTTGGGCTCTATCGTCAGACCAAGACATGGGTTCCGAATCCTGTTACTTTGCCAAATTAGTTAAGCTGTCTTTAAATTTTAGTTTCTTCATCTGGAAAATGGGTGTAACAGTACCCAGCTCATAGAGTTGTTCTTAACAGTAGGTGGTGTAATTTGTCGTAAAGTGTTTAGCATAGTGCATGGCCTATATTGTCACTGAACACTACAAAATTAGTACATCCCAGGGAGTTGCGATAGACTTAATGGGAAATTGTTTTTTTAAGTAAAAAATTAGGTTTTGTTACTGAAAGCAGTGCCATTTAAAGGAAGATACATTACTTAACACACATGCTTAGTATTTATTTATCCTTAGTAGAACCGAAGGTTTATCTCTGAAAACACATTAATCAAGAAAGTACACATTAGGGAGTTAGATATGAATTATATACAGTGTTCTCCATTCACAGTTTGTCCTCAGATGGGACAGCACAAAACAAAAAAAGATACTCAGTTTTGCAAAATGACACAAAATTCAAATTAATATGGTTTTTGTAAAGTTATGAAATTAAGGCAGTGGAAATGAAGAGACATGCATTGACTGGAGAAATACATAGGAGGTAGACATGGTCATGATTGTGGCTGACTGAACATGGAAGGCAAAGAAGATAGAAGAGCCTGGGATGACATCCAAGTTTCTGACTTGGGCAACCAGGTGGATGATAGAGGCAATCACTGAGGTAAGGGAAGAAAAGAGGAAGGAGGGTTTTGAGGGTGGGAAATGTGGTGGGATGGAGATGATGATTCATTTTTGGACATGTTGATTTTGAGGTGCTCATGGAGCATTCACAGAGAAATATCTGTTAGGTTGTTGGTGTAAGTTTAAGGTAGTAGAGAGGCTGGGTTGGAGATCTAGATTTGGGGGTCATTAGCAAGTAGATTGTACGTGAAGCCAAAGGAGTAGATAATATAGTCCATAAGAAATGTGTAGACTTAATTTTGAGGGAAGACCCAGGACAAAACTGCTTTAGATGATGCATTATTGTCTGCTTATTGTGAATTAAAGGTACTTTCCTCCTTGTTACCAAATATGGCTGAATAACACTTCTGAATAAATTGTTCTGCTTCTTAGTTTCCTGCTAGAGGAAGTATAGCACAAACTTTGGAGACAGCCTAGGTTTGACACTGAGTCAAACTGCCCTTCATTGAGTAAACTTGGGCAAGTTTCTTCACCTCACATTCTCTATCTATAAAATGGGTAACAGTAGGACCTACCTTATAAGGTTGTTGTAAGGATTAAATAAATCAATATCTGTAAAGTGCTTAGAACAGTGCTTTGTATAAGTGCCCAGTAAGCTTTTTATTATTACAGTATTTATAATATGGCTTAGCATCTGTCCTTGGAAGTGATAATCCTTTTTATGATGTGCATATGTGAAATTTGTTGTTCTGTGAAAAGCTGGTTGCTATTTGAAACCTTATTTTTAAAACCTAACAATTGTTCATGAAACCTTTACTTTAAAAAGAATTATACTGACCTCTGTTCTGGCTCAGTCATTTCCTAAACCCTTTGTGTTTAATGCTGTTCTTTTTTGACGCTGTGATTTCTTAAAGCTGTTTATTTTATATCAGTAGTACTATTTATCTCAGTTCATCAGAGAAAAGCAGCATGTATATTTTGTCCATGTCAAGGATTGACTCTTGTCTGTGTCTTATTTTTTGATTTTTTGAGAACAAGGCACATGCATTGTTAACCTTTATAATCACCACCTAGCATATAGTTGGTACAATTTATGGACTGTTGACTGTAGATTGATGACCTAGGATTTTGCTCAGATTATTTTGTCCTGTCACTTGATATTCAGCAGTAATGATATGCTTAAAGCTTTTTTTTTTCTACGTTTTCATCTTCATAACCCAGAAAGGCAGAAGATGGTAAAGCATATAGGTCACTTTGCACAGGTTGAAATTCTGCCTATAACACATAATAGCCGTATCGTTCTGAGCAGTTGATCTAACATTTCTGTCTTGGTTTCCTTATCAGTCAGATGGGGATAAAAGCCTCCATAGAGTTAATATAAGATTAAATAAGTTAATATGTGTAAAACACCTATAACTATGCATGAAACATAATAATCATTCAAAAAATGTTAGCTGCTGCTGTTATTATTCTTGTTATTTGTTGTTATTATTATTCCCATAATCCAGATGAGGAACTGAGATCTACAGAGCATGAGATTATTTGCCTGAACTGGGATTCAAACCCTAGTCCTCTAATGTCAGATCTTACTTTCTTTTTATTTGACTATATTTTCTTTCTGTGAAATGTTTTCTGTAGTACTTCCAGATTTTCTAACAGTGCCACTGCTAGCATCCCCATAATTACTCTTGCCGTTTTATTCTTTCCTTTGTTAATTTGGTATCATTTTGCTGCCTAAGAGACAGAATTTAATGAAAGGCTTTCATCAGATCCTTCTTTGGAGGAAAATCTTACATGAGAAGGATTTCCTGGATATAGGCTGCTTTATAACCTCAGTTGGTGTTTTTGGTCTTGACTTTGTTCATAACTTGACTGGATAGGCCTAATCTTTCAATCTGCTGCATAAATTTTTTTTCGATTCATATCTCACTCTTGATCAAAGTAAATCCTTTACACACGCATAGTGTCAACTACTTTGGTGCTGTCTCTTTCATCACTTAGGATACATTTACCTGCCTGACCTTTTCTTGTATTTATCTCACTAACTCTAAATGCTGAATACCTAACCTGTTTCTTGCTCCTGAGCTTCACAGTGGTTTAGGAGACTATAAGAGTCCAGAATTGATCTTTTATTAATTAATTGTCTTTTCATTTGACATGAGGTTTACTCCAAATCATTTCTTTGTTTTCCTACCCCATCTCTTACTGAAAAGTCAGAGACCATTTAAGTGAATCCTTCATTTTAACCTTGGCATACTACTATCCCAGTATGTCATTTAGTCGTCTTTCTCTTAAGCCTGGAAAGTGTCTTGTCCCTAAAGCTTTCCTATTTTCTTGTTCTTTGGACCCCATTCCTTGCCACCTTCCTCAGAACCTTCATCTCATAATTTTCCCTTTCCTTTCTGGCATCTTTAATCTATTCATTTCTATGGGCTTCTTTTTAAGTCTTAACCTTAAGTCTTATTTATTACCCCTTCTCATCATGAAACAAAAAACCATTGAGTCTTGTTGTGGCATTTCTATTGCCAAGCAATCATTCTGTTTTCTCTTCTAGTCCCCTGTCTCACATATATGTGGTATAGTGTAAACCACTTCTGGCTTGTTCTCCTCATCAAGCCTTGGGCTATATGGTTATGGTACCTTATGTGTATTTGAATTACAGAACTCTTGAGGATTAGAAACCTTTGACCTTTTTCTTTACTTCATTATTCATTTCATGAGCTACTATTTTGTTTTTGTTTTTAATTTCTCATGCTTGCCTATCCACTTGGCCCCCCTATTTTATACTGCTTTTCAGAGCTCTTTGATGGCTAGTCTAGGTCTTTTGTCTCCAGTGCTTAGCACAGTCTTGTGTAAACTCAAGACACGGAAGAAGTGTTTGAATGAATGCCACCCTGCCACCTTGGAGCATCTTTCCTTACCTCACTTCTGGATGACAACAGTAGGGTCAGAGCTGATCTAGCCTCTCTTTCCTCTAATTCAAATATA